AAAATCAAGAAACGGGACCAAAACTTGTCCGGTTACGCTTATAAAATTTCAACTAAAAATTCGCCCCAAAACCCGTTAAGCCGGCCGAATTTTGGAAAACACGTGACCCGTTGCCTAATTTAATCGGTTCAACCTATATAAATGTATATTTTTTAAAAAATTTTAATTGTACATTTTTTTTAATTTTTTGTAAATATATATTTTTCAGTTTTTTAAAAAATCATCGGTTCGATCCCAATTCGACATCTATTCAACATTTTCACCCTTGATCCTTTTTCTTTTTCCGGTCGATTTTTAAAACGTTAATAAAAAGTGATTTGACGAATATAAACACATGCATACATAAGGGATTTGGTATCTGTCAGTTTAAAATACAGTCAATTTTTTTATTTAATTTTTTTCTCTCCACATCATCATATGTAATACCATTTTTACGTACAAGTAGCATAATCTATTTATTATGGCAAGTTGAAAGAAGTAAAAGAGCACAAAACCAAGTTTGCCTTTTACAAGGACGTGACGACGACTCCAATACCTTTAAAGATATGGTGATAGTGGCCCTACATACATTTGTGGCATGTTTTTCTTGTTGTCTGTGGTCTCAACCAACTTTTTAAACTTCCTTTTCAAATTCACCCCCCTCCCCCTCCCCCTAACCCCTACCCACCGACCCACCCACCCACATATTGTTTTTAGTATTAGTTTATTTATATATGTGCCCATATTAGTATATGTTTGGCGAAGTTTCAAATTATTTTGTATTCACACATTTCGTAAGATTTATAAGTACTATCTGTCTATTTTTAACTCATTTCTATTCTTTATTTATATAAGCAAAATTGTTTATAAATATTTTCCAAACATGTTCTTGATAGATATGTTTTTTAATAATACAATTGATTTTTTAAAATTATTTGGTGAATTGAAAAGTCAAAGTCATCCCCTACGAAAATAGATTTAACGGATATTTGTTATTTCCAATTTTTAATTATAAAATATTGACGTACAAATGAAGAAGTTTTCCTTATACTAAAATATTTTTATTTTTATTTCCTTTCACTCTCTTTCACTAGATGTTTCCTCATAAAAAATATTTAATTAAAAAAAAAATTAAAACTACCAGTTAGCTAAACTTCAAGATTTTTAATCTAAATTATTAAGAAAAGATTTTATTTTCGTAAAAGTAAAGATACATTTCTTACTTTGACCCTTCTCCGAAATTGTCTATGTTATTATAATATAATGACAACTAAATATTATTAAACACGCATAAAAAACTGTTAAGCTAATCTGTCTTATATCTCTAATAGCATGAAATTAGATTTTGCTTCTCAATTTGAACGAGTTCTTAAAAATTTGAAGTGTTTTGATTATCTAACGAATATTTGAACGATTTTGGGTGGGAACTAAATGTACAAAATGAAAGGTTGGGGCTGAAATTGGCCATTATTAGAGATTAAAATACAAACTTGGTACTCAAACAATACATTAGGGACCAACGGTGTAATTTCTCTTGTAGGATTTCCCCGAAAAAAAAAAAAAAAAGGTAAATCCAAAAGCCGAAAAGCGTTTACAGAAAAGGATACCTTCTTTCTTTCAAAAGGTTTTGGCATGGTCAAATGACTTTGCCCCTGTTTTTATCCATAAATGCAACACACGTTGTAAATGCTGGTCTCAATGTCATGTTTGCCTGACCTAAAAATTCACTTATAAGTAAGTGCACTGAAATAAATAATACTTTATAGTTTCCTTGCCCAATCTTTTAAAATATAAATTACGGTGCTTGAAGGTATGGATGGGCAAACATGGACTTTGAACCTGGTGTGTCTATAGTAACCCTCGGGCATCGAGTTTGTGACATAGTAATACGTTCCCGTAATTGTCACTATTGTTGGCACTGCAAATTTTGACGGTATGTTCAGACTCCCATCACTACATGCTAATTGCACTTTTACGATTGTCCGATCTCATTATTCCTTCCCCGCTTTCTCGAAATTTGGACAAAGTACATAAGCTGCTTCCTATGTTATTCGGCACCAAACACGTGGTTGGTAAGAAAAAACAGATAAAAAAAATCATGTAGGGATGGCAACTACGCAGCGCATCGTTTCGCTCCGTCCCTATCAGCACTTAAGGTGTGTGCGGGGCAAGACAATCCTCGTCCCTTTTACTGCCTGGTTTTATATTTTATATTTATGTTTACTAGGATAATTTGGAAAATGGGTCAACGGACTTATAATTTGTTCGGGTTCGAGATAAGTGACAGCAAAAAACCCGCTTGAAAACTGGCCGGTCGGGGCTGGACACCGCGCAGCTCGAGATTTTCTGGGCAGATTACCATCCCTAAATTAATTACATACAAAATTCACTTATAAGTAATTTTATTCATTTCTAAACTCAGCCAATCATGCGTAGCTAATTTATCATATATTCCCTGTACGCTAAAAATCCAACTACATTACATAGAAAAATCGACAAAACCATATACGCGTAGCAACAGTTACTGACGTCAAGGAACACGCTTGTAGACTTTTCAACCATTAATCTAAAAACTGCTTCTTCCTTGAATTTTCTTCTCATGTTCTCGGTCATTTATGTGTATTTAAAGATGAATTAAACTTCTTTAGTAAACGCTGTATTACTCTTTATTTAATTCCCACGTCTATCTGATCATTTCGTTTCTTTTTTCCTCTGTCATTTCTTGTTTTGTTCTTCTTCACATTTGACAAAGTAAAGAATATCGTTTTTTCCAAAGCTTTGGATTGTACAAAAAAGGAGCTTTTGTTTTTCATTTCTGATGCCAGTAATTCAGAAGAAGCAGTGAAAACTTTGAACCCAGGTGACTTTTTATTTTGTTTTTCTATTTTTCATAGTGATTATACTCTTTTATGGGTTTATGTGCTTGGTGTTCTTAAAAAGACTGGTTGATTTGAGAACGTAAATTTTGAAATTCGCTCGATTGAGCTTTCCGAGTCTAAGACTTCTACCGGGTCAATCGAATAGCCAAAGGCCTTGTATGGAGATTATGGCTTACATATTTAAGTGATTTGAGGTTTTTATCCTTGAGAAGTCTGAGTTACATGTGTGAATGTGTGTGTTTTATTGTGGTTTCTGTAGTTATGAGTTTTGAGGATTTTTTTTTTTTTTTATTTGATTGTATTTTAGAAGATTTATCATCTGGGCTTATTGATGATGTGATTATTTTTATTATTAATCAATCAGATGGTTGTCTGAAAATTTGAAATTTTCCATAAATACTGGGAAAGGCAGATTTTGTTTGTTCCATGATCAACAGAATCTTCTGGGATACTTTATTCTTTAAGTAGATTAACCTTTTTTATGTGGAAAAGATGAAGAAAACAAAGACAACTGATGATTCTCCTAATGATCATTCGAGTGTCTCGATTAAGGTGAAATAAAATTTGATTCTTGTGATGGAATTGATAATATGAATTGGTGGAGTCCAGGATATCCACTATTGCGATCGAGTATGAAGACAGATCGCCTGGTCGATGTGTAGTTCTTCGTCGTTCCTTCGATTATTACTTTGATTTCTTATTAACTTTACAACAAAAAATATTAGGATCCTTTTTCTTTGCTAGGTGGACTTGAGAGAGACAATTTTATTGTTCTTCAATCTGATAGCTTGTCTTCACATATATTTTGCTTACGTTTCTTCTCATGAACAGGTGCCTGATTTTCCTTCATCAAGTACAAAGTATTTGTGATAGTAATCATGAGCAATCTGAAGCTAGGAGTGGAGGTTGTGAGGGCTCACAATCTTATGCCGAAAGATGGGCAGGGTTCATCCAGCGCCTTTGTGGAACTCCATTTTGATGATCAGAAATTTCGCACCACTGTCAAAGAGAAGGATCTTAACCCATATTGGAACGAAACTTTCTATTTTAATATATCTAATCCCAATAATCTACTTAGTCTCTCGCTTGAAGCACGTGTCCATAACAGTGAAAAGAATTCTGATTCCAAGTCATCCCTCGGGAAGGTTCGGATAACTGGTACATCATTTGTCCCCTATTCCGATGCTGTTGTTTTCAATTATCCTTTAGAGAAGGGAAGTATTTTTTCACGTGCAAGAGGGGAGCTTGGCCTGAAAGTCTATGTAACAGATAGTCCATCTATTCAGTCTTCAATCCCACATCGTGGAGTGGATTCTACTTCATATTCAAGTTTGCACTCAATCGGCGGTGAAGCGCCTTCTCAGAAAGTTGCAAATGTCGACTCAGACTTAGTAGATGGTCGCAAAAAGGGGAAAACACGGACACTTCACAATCTTCCCAACTCGAATTACCAGCAACAACAGCAGCCGTCTTCTTCAACATACAATCAACCAATAAAATACGGGGTGGATGAGATGGCTTATGGAGCACAAGTTCCACAAGCTGTCCACATGTACCCAGGTTCATCCTCACAGCCTGCTGATTATCTTCTTAAAGAAACAAGCCCCTACCTTGGAGGGGGACAAGTTGTTGGCGGACGAGTAAGACGTTCAGACAGGCCGTCCAGCACTTATGACCTGGTTGAGCCAATGCAGTTCCTCTTTGTACGAGTTGTCAAAGCACGTGACCTTCCTTCCAAGGATCTTACAGGTAGTCTTGACCCTTATGTTGAAGTTAAACTTGGTAACTATAAAGGAGTCACAAAGCACTTCGAGAAAACACAAAACCCTGAGTGGAACACAGTGTTCACCTTTTCAAGGGATAGAATGCAGTCATCCGTGTTGGAGGTTGTGGTTAAAGACAAGGATATGGTTAAAGATGATTTTGTAGGTACAGTTAGGTTTGATCTTCATGAGATTCCCACTCGAGTTCCACCAGATAGTCCATTGGCTCCAGAATGGTATCGTCTAGAAGATAGGAATGGAGAGAAAAGAAAAGGGGAACTTATGGTTGCTGTCTGGATTGGCACACAAGCCGACGAGGCATTTCCGGATGCTTGGCATTCAGATGCGGCTAGCCCTGTTGATAGTTCAGTGAATTCAACATACATCCGCTCTAAAGTTTACCATTCCCCAAGATTGTGGTACGTACGAGTTAATGTTATTGAAGCACAAGATTTAGTTGTGGCTGAGAAGACTCGCTTACCGAATGTACATGTTAAGGCACAGATTGGTAACCAAGTTTTGAAGACGAAACCTGTTCCCACACAAACTATGAATGCACTATGGAATGAGGATCTGATGTTTGTTGCTGCTGAACCATTCGATGATTTTTTAATACTTTCAGTTGAAGATCGTGTCGGTCCAAACAGAGATGAGATTCTTGGTAGAGTTGTTATACCCCTGGCCACAGTTGAGAGACGTGCGGATGATCGAATGGTCCACTCAAGATGGTTTAATCTCCAAAAATCAAATTCAACTGAGGTTGAGGAGCCGAAGAAAGATAAGTTTGCTAGTAGGGTCCATCTTCGTGTAAGCCTCGATGGGGGGTATCACGTGCTTGATGAGTCTACTCACTACAGTAGTGATCTCCGACCAACAGCAAAACAGCTTTGGAAGCCGCCGATAGGTATCTTGGAGCTAGGCATTTTAAGTGCCGATTCCATTCACCCAATGAAAACGAGAAATGGTCGGGGAACATCCGACACTTTTTGCGTCGCGAAATACAGTCAGAAATGGATTCGTACTCGGACAATTATTGACAGCTTAAATCCGAAGTACAATGAGCAGTACACTTGGGAGGTGTTTGACCCAGCCACTGTTCTTACCATAGGTGTTTTTGATAACGGACAAATTAGCGAAAATGGTCTAAATGGTAACAGAGACGTGAAAATTGGGAAAGTTCGAATCCGAATCTCAACTCTTGAAACTGGCCGTGTTTATACTCATTCTTACCCCTTACTAGTCCTTCACCCTTCCGGTGTAAAGAAGATGGGAGAGTTGCATTTGGCAATACGGTTTTCATGCACATCAATGGTGAACATGATGTGTTTATACTCGAGGCCGCTTTTGCCTAAGATGCATTATGTCCGGCCATTGACTATGATGCAGCTCGACATGTTACGTCACCAAGCTGTCAGTGTAGTCGCAGCACGACTCAGTCGTGCAGAACCCCCTCTCAGAAAAGAAATAGTCGAATACATGACTGATGCTGATTCACATCTCTGGAGCATGAGGCGCAGCAAGGCTAACTTCTTCAGGCTAATGTCAGTTTTTAGCGGATTACTATCTGTCGGAAAATGGTTTAAAGAAGTTTGTATGTGGAGAAACCCCATTACATCGGTGCTGGTGCATGTTCTCTTTATTATGTTAATATCTTTCCCTGAACTGATTTTGCCTACAGTTTTTGTATACATGTTTTTAATTGGACTCTGGAATTATCGATTCCGTCCGAGGTATCCTCCGCACATGAACACGAGACTATCCTATGCCGACTCAGTACACCCTGACGAGCTTGACGAGGAATTTGATACATTTCCCACCCGACAAAATACAGATCTTGTCCGAATGAGGTATGATCGTTTACGCAGTGTGGCTGGTCGAATTCAAACGGTGATAGGCGATATCGCGTCCCAAGGGGAGCGAATGCAGGCACTGCTGAGTTGGCGAGATCCACGTGCCACGATCATATTCATGGCATTCTGCGTACTTGCTGCCATTGTGTTGTATGTTACACCTTTCCAGTTGCTGATTATTCTCACTGGATGTTATGTGATGAGGCATCCCAGATTCAGGCACAAGTTGCCGCCCACCCCACTCAATTTCTTCCGTCGTCTGCCAGCAAGAACTGATAGTATGTTGTAAGTTTTTCAGGTTCATTTGCAACTTTTGTGGGAGATTATCAATTTGCTTTTGTTGATTTTTGTACATCCCTGGTCGACATGTTTTCGATGTATTTCTGTTATAGCTACTCTCATGTATAGTCCGGTTGCTATTCCAGATCTTTTTGTATGATTGATTATGCTTCAAAACTACATTCTGCTATTGATGTACCATCTGTTTTACAAATTTTCCGAAAGGTTGTTTCAATGTGGTTTTGTATGGTTTACATTTTTTCTATATTGAACAATTGGATTCGTATTCGCTGATTTCAAATTTATGGAGAAAAATGCTCAATCTGCTCTTTATAGTGGGATTCATCTATTTCTTGTATTGTTCGATCTTGACGGTTATCCACTGACCATGAATCAATGTCCAATTTCTCAGAATTTTTAAGTTTCTAGAAGGGAAAAAAAATGAATTTTTTTCATCACTTATTTTAGTTCATTAGTAGATTTATTGGGAGATTCAAGAAAGTAAAATCTTTGTCCATTTTCACATCATCTCGGAATACTCCTTTACTCGGGACTTATTTGGTTATGAATAATGAAGGCAGGGTTTCTCTTGAGAAATTAATGATTAAATTTTTCGTGTCATGTCAAATAGAGAAGTTTCAATATGATAGTCATATAAGCTCACATAGTAGGATTGTTCATTCAAATTACGACACTTCAAACCTCAAACATTAAAAATTAAAAAAATGTGACACCTCAATATTGCACATCCACTTTGTTTGTCTCTTGCCACCTCGAACGTCGAGTTGTTGCGATTTGAGTGGCTCGAGATCTGAGTCGTCGATAGTTACCACAAGAAGCTAATCGTTGCTGCTTACCGGTCCCTAGCAGCCTTCCTATCGGCTTCTGATTTGGTATAGATGAAGACAGAGACACCCCATGTGACTGAGCCATTGTGTCCATATTCCAAGGCCTTCTTTCTATGCGTAGTGTATCCATATTCCAAGGCCTTCAACCGGTGGAACATCAACAGTAATACCACCATTTGATCCTTTATGAGCAAATGGTGCACCCAAGCTGACTCTATGATATTGAACCACCTCATTTAAAAGTTTAAGTTTTGATTATTTATTTAAATTTAGTCTTTCTCAATCCCTCTCATTTTGTTCACCGAATTCATTTTTCCACTAAGACACATGCTTAATCATTTAGCAGTAAGACTTGAACTCAGGTTCCTCTAATACCACATTAAACTGCTTCATTTAGGGTATGAAATGCACACATACATTTATCTTAATGTAGTTTTCGACTCCGCATGACTGATGAAAACGAAGATACCGCAAATGAAACCGAGTCATCGTGTCTGTATTTCCGTGGTTTTCCCCTTCTTCTACAGTTTTACACAGGCTCACCTTGCAAATCAATTCACAGAGAATCGCTTTGAATTTGTAGCACACCAAAGGCAAAATCCCTTACAACTATAGATTGCATAAAATTTATATTGACTTATGGAGATCACAGAAAAAGGTTAGATTCTGACTAAACTTAAGATTAATGGAAGCTAAAACACATGAAGACAACGGAAAAAAAAGAAACAAAAACTGGTTTACTAAAGGGCCCAACCGGGTTCGAACCGGTGACCTATTGATCTGCAGTCAATTGCTCTACCACTGAGCTATGGACCCTTGGTTGAAAGCAAGCTCGGAATAAAAGATTATTAAACATATATATTGGTTTAAGGAAAATGAGATTTATGATTTATTAAATGTGGGATTTTTTAAAATTAGCAATAATGACTCCCATTGAATAAGGAAAGGATAGAATATCTCCCTGAAAATTAGGCCATTTTCGTGATTAAATGTCGGAGTTAATTAACAATTAATCACAGTTGTAGGTGGCATGAAGCCAGCTACTGACCCAGGATTTTGGGTCAGCAGGACGGCCGTGAATCGTCGACCGTTGTCAGCAATAAAATATTAAGAGTCTCGTTTGATGCCCTTATTTTTTTTTGCAAAAAGTGCATTTTGGAATAATAATTTGATGGAAAATATGTGGTTAAAAATAAGAATTTTTTTTTTGAATTTGAGTGTAGTATTATTTTATTGAAAAATGTGTGGTTGAAAGAAAAATGTATTTTGAAAAAAAAAAAAAACAAACAATGTCTAGAATTTAAATATAACAATTATTTTGTTCAAACTGAATATATATAATTTTGTTGTAAAAATTAGCAATATTCACCAAATAATATTGTGACCAAGTTTTGTATAAATCAAAGGAAGGGCATGGGTTCAAATTTTTATTGCATTAAACCCGCTAAAATGTAACATATATTATTCTGGTAGGATTAGAATCAAATTCAAGAAATGCCACAATGGTCAAGTTCTCACTATCCTAAGGAGGGGTCACAGTTTTGATTCACCTCTCCATCCAATTTAATTTTGGTAAAAGGTAAAAATTAAAGTATTAAAAATCATGCACAATAAAACGATGGGAAATGGATTCGAAATCGAGACCTCCTATATAAATATAGGAGCTCTACCCAGTTGAGGCTATTGAGCTACAAGAAATATTTGAAAATTAAAAAAATTATCAGGTATATAATCTAAAAAGTTTATACATGAAAATCTTGATTTTGAGGTGAATTGAACATAAAATTGGAGCTTGGATCTTTAATAATGGGATTGAAGAGATACCGGGAAGTCTTGACTTGAACATTTTTGGGGACTCACAAGTTTTGGGGACTAAATTCACCTTTTAAAGACCTACTTGAACATTTTAGAAACCTAGAAAGACTGAAATTAATTGTGTTAAAAGTTGAAGGAGTAATGTGAGCAAAATCGGAAGTTCAATTACTTGAATTGACATGTTCAACACACTACTCTTTATTTTACTTATTATTATCTGGTCAAGGGATGAATTGAATAGAGAATCTGGTCAAGGAACTAACTTTATCGCTTACCCTTCACTGAATGAGTCTATTTAGATAGCTTACGCTTACGAAATGAAGCTCGAGATACCATACCTAGGATAGGAGGAATAGAGGACAAAAGCTAATTGGGATGAGACGTACTTCATTCTACCTAAAGGAGAATTGAAGTATACAGAACACCCATCCAAAGAGAAAGGACGGTTGGGTGAACACTATTGCAATACTAATCGAGGGAGATGGGGTACAAGAGTTGAGCTATAAGTACAGGGAATTTTTACCGAATTTTTACAGATTTTTGAAATCAACAGTGCAGATTCAAACTTTGGGAAAAAATAAAAAAATACAGATGGACAGGATGCTGCCACATCAACATCCTGTAACATTTCTGGGAAAATTCCCTGTACTTAGGGAATTTTCCTGGGGTACAATGATCAATCACTAAAGGACCAATTAAGCCCATGATAATTCGATTAATAAATCACATCTTGCCTGATTTATTTACATTTATTAACAAGAGAACGCAAATGAAGCGTTATTATAGTGTAGCGCCAATCATAGATCATGAAATAATATTGTCGGTATTTATAAAGACCATGGAAAATTATTTTGGAGTTTGAAGATCATGAATTTATGAGATAGTAAAGTATTATTTTCGTCAATTTTATTAGTGTAAAAACATATAAAATATCAAATTTTACCAACACTTTGTCTTGTTCTATATAATATATTTAACTGTACATTCCAATTTTAACTACATATTTTATGGGAACCTCAATTTTATCATCTTTCAACCACGCATTAACATTAATTATCAATATTTATCAAAATCTGCCAAAACTTTAACCAAAAGCTTTGTCAAAGAACCCCCAATAAAACGTGTTTGTTCCATAATCTCGAGTTAACTCATCACCCCCATTCACCAAAATATTTGAGCATACAGTTCAAAAGTGGATTAGCCTGTATGGCCTCCAAATCTCATCACATATTTCTCTTCGTTAATCGTGTCTATTCCATCACATAAATGTTTGCTCTATACATTCATCAAAATCATCCTCCAAAAGAATTGAAAAATGTGCACAAATGCAGGCTGATCCCATTCATGGCAAGTTGTGTGCTCTTGTAAGATGTAGACAAAAGTAAGGCAGAGAAGGATAGAGATGGCTATGTGGTTCCATATCCATATTCAGTGAAACTTAGGATTTGCAGCTCGAAATGCCTCTTTTGTATAACCAGCTTTGCCGCCATGGAATGTGATAAAATTACAACTAACCTGATGATCCGAACCATCTCCCTACAATCATTTTGGCGAAATGTGGCAAAAGAAAAGGAAAAAAATTCCTTTTATCGACCACAACATCTCCACCTTGTAGGAACCACGATATCATCCCATTGGCCCTTCACATCCAGAGGTCCACTAAAAGACAATAGAACCCTCTTCCAGAGGTAAAAGGCATTAGCTGTTCGTTCTCAGGTTGGAAAGTAAGAGTTGGAGAAGAGAAATCACTCCTTCACATATGCTACATCAGTTGGGAATTATCTGCTATCATGTCTTGTTTGTAATCCTCAGGCTTCTGTCCATCCTGAGTGACACTAACAAGGCATATTTTTGCACTTCTCCAGGCTGGTCAATTTTGCTGTCATCTCTTTGTATAGATGCATCGGAAGCTTCATTCTGCAAATTATAGTTTACATAAAGATGAGATCCTTTCAAGTTTCAAGGAGCAAGAGATTTGACCACAACCAGAGACACATACAGACATTTTTATTGTCACGTTAACAATCTTTTTCACTCAATATCTTAACAAATTAAGATGTCATGGATTTGGCTACATCATGAGGAATTTCAATATCCAATAAACTTCACCTCACTTTAATAAAAATTAAAAAACCCAGAGAGAGAGGGGGGGGGGGGGGGGGGGGGGGGGGACCCAAAGAACGTATGCCTGGGAAATAGAAGTCAATATCTGAGGGAAATAGTTCCTTGAGATTCTACTACAAAAGCAAAAAGTGTAAAAAGTTTGAATTTTGACGTCCTCCGACAATTTAAGCTAAAAGCCGGAAGTATTAGGCTTATAGTATCCAAATGGAGCAAAGTTTGGAAT